CAGCGTTTAGTTGTCCACCTCAAAACCACTACGCTATAATGTAATGCCATTTGGACTTAAACAAGCACCTAGTATATATCAGCGATTTATGGATAATAATCTTAAAGGATTAGAGTCAATAAGTCTTGCTTATATAGATGATATAATTGTTTTTACACAAGGATCAAAAGAAGATCATCTAAAAGAACTTGCAAAAGTTTTATTACAGTTAGGTAATAAAGGAATTATTTTAAGCAAGGAAAAAGCAAAAATTTGCAAAAGAGAAACAGAATTTTTGGGAATGAAAATAGTCGAGGGAGGCTATATTGAACCTCAAAAACATTTACTTTAAAAAATACATCAGTTTTCAGATCAACTTCAAAACAGAAATCAAATTCAAAAATTTCTTGGATGTTTAACATATATTGGAGAAAAAGGTTTTATAAAAAGTCTTGCAAAAGAAAGAGAGTTACTACAAAAAATGATTTCAGAAAAAGTACCATGGAAATGGACAGACAATGCAACTAGAGCAGTACAGTCCTTAAAAAGACTATGTACTCAATTACCACGGCTTTACCTACCAAAACCTAGTGATTTACTTATTTTAAACACTGATGCAAGTCAGGACACTTGGGGAGCAGTCCTTCAAGCAATTCCAGATGCATATGAAGAGTTTAATAGATTTATCGCAAACAACAAACCATCTGAAGTTAAATCCTTTATACGAAGGATGACTAAAGAAAGTTTGGATGAAAATAGTGAATCTAATGATTCTATGCAATTAGTATTGGGAAAAACCAATGGAAAGCAATTACTGTTATCCAAATGGGTATCAGGAACGTTTAAGCAAGCAGAACGCAATTATACAACACATGAAAAAGAAACATTAGCTTTTATAAATGCTTTGGAAAAATTTAAACTTGATTTACAACCAGTTAAATTTATTTTTCAAACAGATAGTTTGTATACAAAAGATTTTACAAAATATCGAATAAAAGAATCTTACAACAAAGGTAGACTTTTAAGATGGAGTTTGAAAGCACAACAATTTGATTACATATCTGTATATATTTCAGGAAAAGAAAACTATTTAGCAGATACATTAACCCGAGAATGGAAGCACTCAAACCAGTCTTAGAAGATAGTCTAAAAATGCTGGAAAGCAGGTAGAAGAGCTCTTTGAGCAGATAAAGAAAAAAGAAAAAGAAATCAGCAAGATAAAAGCCATACTATTTGAAGAAAAAGGCAAAGAAGAAAAGAAAAATGAAAATGCAGAAACATCAAAAGAAAAAGAAATAAATGAAGAAAAAGAAAGACCTCATTTTGATGAGGAAGAAAGAACAAAGAACCATTATGTAATATTTACAGGTCCTAATCAAGGGATATTTTCCCAATGGAGCCAAGCAGCCATGTTTATAACAGGACAGAATGTTATACATAAAAAATTTTCTAGCCTGTTCGAAGCAAAAGAAGCGCTAGCACAGTTCAAAACAAGCTATGCGGGAAAAGCACAATCACCGGCTACAGCAGCACAGAAGCAAATGCTTATATTAGGCAAGATCCCAAGTATCAGACCACTAACGATTGGAAGCATACAGTCCAAACAATAAAAAGAAGAGATGACCAAGCTGACCAAAAATATTTTTGACCATGAATTCAAGTTTGTGGTTAATTATACAGATGAAGATAAGCAGACAAGCATTTATCCAACTGACGGTCTATATCTTGGACCAAAAGCAATAGCTCTACCAGAAGCAGATCCGATGAAGGTATACATGATGTTCCAATCAGGATTACTAAGTTGTATTTATTTCAGAGATACAAATATATTCCAATACTTCCCGATCAACATCAAGAAAGCAGTTTCTCAATACTGCAAGTACATTCTTGGGAAAAAGGAAGGATTCGTGAAAATATTTGCCACCACACCTATTTTTCGTGAGGGGGAAAGCTCACAAGAAGTAATACAACCAGCAATCCAGTTTTGTCAAATTGGAATAAGCAATGGAAATTATCCAGACATCGGCCAAGCACAACATGAAGACGAATTAGTTCAGTTTCTAAATAATTATGTCATAATCTTAAATAAAGGCATTAAAATCAAGGGAAGGATTAATTATGCAGCCAAGTCCATTATCATTTGGAGCATGCAAGCACGAGATCCAACAGAGCTAGACATCAAGTTACTTAACAAATATCTGGATACACTTATAAAAATACAATTTGAAATTCCAGAAATAGTTAAGAAAGAGATCTGCATCAGGCTACAGAAGGAATTCGCAGAAGATCACATTTGTGATTATGCAATCCAGAATCACAAGGAGAATTTGAACCTATCCAGGAATGACGTAAGCGCTTACGTCAGGAGGCAATAAGAGAGCAGATAGTGGATGAGATAGTGGAGGATAATGGAGCAAGATAGTACTGGACGAAAATGGAGGATCCCACCTTCTTTTTAAAATTGTCTTGTTGTAATAATAGATAGGACCTCATGCATTATGTAATGGGATGGTGAGTCACCACCCACACCCACTAAGGACCAATAATGTAAAGATGTCGGCCATGATGTAAAAAGGCAGAGTTATAACTCTTGCCTATAAATAAGTGTCTCAAATTTCATTTGAGGACACAGCAATTCGAAATAAAATTACTTCTTAAAGATACTCTTTCTCTCTCTAAAAGGTTTTAATGCTTTCATATATAATGAGTTTCTAAATACTTAGTAGATATAAGAAGAAAGATTAAAAGTGTTAGTTGATTGAGCAATAATTTCTCTGGAGCACTGAAAGTTCTGAGAAAAGGCCGAAGCTGGTATGCGTCAAGGCTATTAAATCCAGAATTGTGTTGAGAACAGGCGGAATCAGGTAACTCTTTTAAATCGAGTACGTTTATATCTATCTTGTTGATAATTGTTATTGATTTCTTAGTTTCCCATGGATATAAATGATTTTTGGTATATGCCATATAGAGAAATATATAAAGATATAAATCGTCTCAAAGCATTAATAAATCAAATTGCTTCATTAACAAAAATGTTAAAAGAAAATGAACAAATGTTATTCAACCTAGTAAAAATTTATGCACCTAAAGAACATTCAGTAGAAGATCATTTTCGAATATGCGATAATATTACTTCTTCAAATAATAGGATTAAAGAGTTAATAAAGAAAGCTGAGTACCAAGCATTTAGTGTAAGTGTTCAAATAAGACTAAGAATTCTAAATATAAGATAATAAAAGACAAATAATGGATAACGAATATCATGTTATAGAAAATATAGAAGAACAAGGAATTTATTTATCAGATATATTATTAGATAAAAAGGTAGTAACAAAAGTAAAAAATAAAGGAAATTTAGATTTAGAAAAGAAAGAAGGAATAAATAATAGTATATTAGAAAAATTAAATAAAAAAAATATAATACATTATGGAATAATGAATGGAGAACAACCAATTAGAATAGAACAAGCAAATTATAATTTTCAAGCACCCTTAGTTGAAATAAATCAAATAGAAAAGAGATTAGAAAAAATAAAAGAAGAAGAAAGAAAAAAGATAAGTTATATACACATAAATACAGTACAAATAGTATTACGATCTACATTTAGAAAAGGAATAAAGACACCCGTTAATATAAAAGTTGAAGATAATAGAATTATGCATAAAGAATCTAGAAAGCTAGGAGAAATAGAAGGAGATTTAGGGTATGGAGTAATTAAATTTAATATATCATTACAATTTCCTATACCATTATCAACTAAGAAAATTAATAACTGCATAGGAATAATATGTAATTTTCAAGAAAAAACATTAATGGAATCAGGAGATATACCTATGGTTGTTTGTTACAGAATAGCTTATGCATTAAGTAATAGTAGTTTAAGTATGAATTATCAAAATCAAGAAAGAATATATACGCAAAAAATATTCAATGAAACCAGTACCATTATTAAAAATGATAGAATTCAAAAGGAATTCTTAAGAGAACATAGTAGACGATCATTTAGTAATCTAGGAAAACTTAGTGAAAATAATTTATTAAAAATTCAAGAAATTGAAGAACCTCATAGTAGTAATAGTTTATATAAAGGGGATATAGAAATAGAAAAATTAAATAAACAGGTAAATGAGTTAAGCTCATTAGTAATAAATCTAAATAATAAAATATAATTTGTAGTAATGGATAAGAGAGATATAAATCTTGAATTAAATGAATTAAAACGAAGGGAAATCAAAGAAGTAGATTATTTAATAGAAAAATCAATTCAATATTCATATATAAACAAGGATGAACAAAAAATAAAACAGATAGAATATGATATACAAAAATATAAGAAAAAATTTAAGAAATTACATAGAATAGGACCACCTAAAACAATAATATAAATGGCTTTAAAGAAGAAAGTATACAAGGTTAAATATATACAAAGTAAAGCTATAAAGATATACATATACAAGGTTAAAATATGGTATCAGAGCCTGGTAACAGGTGAAATACTTAACTAAATGCCACAAATAGATTGGTTAAATGCATTTTTAGCAAGACGTAAAACTCTTGAAAAGAAAATTACAAATACAGCACCGCATTCTGAAATACACGAAAAACACATAAAATATTGGAAAGATAAGCTTGAATGTATAAATTTAGCTATCCAAATTTTAGAAACAAACAAAAGAACCTATTCAAAATCAGAAGAACAATTCTTTGAAAAATGTTTAGATCCTTGGAGATATAAAGAATAATAAACATAAGATAAAAATGAGTACAATAAAAATTTATCTGGACATAGAATGGGAAATTCAAAATATAAAAACAGATATAATAAGATATGCTTATTTACATGATATTACAAGTGAAGAATTTTATTATGACATGATAATGATATGTGAAAAACAATTAAAAAGATTAAGATATTTACAAAAACAAGTAGCCGTTGCATAAAATAAATGGATACTATTTATAGCATTAATATAATTAAAACAAGGGAACAATTGCTAAGGGCACTCCAATGGGTGCCACCCTCGCGGGTGGCATCGAGTGAACCCCCTGACTTCGGGAACTACACTACACGCGTCCGTGACTAAAGAAAAAGGCAAAGAAAACAAAGATTTGCACACGATGACAAGCGAACAAAATGTCTGCCCCCAAAATGAACGAGCCAAAGACCATGCCAGATTTGTCTCCCATGGAGTAGAAAATTTTAAAATTATTACCAGAATTCCGTATTGCATTTGTAAATGTTAAAAATTTCTTGATACAATTTTCGAGAGAGAGAGAGATGGAGAGTCGGGGTTTATTAGTAGTTGGTGGGCCGTCGAGCGGGAATTCATCGATTTCAGCCATGGCTGGAGATGAGAAGAAACAAGTAATTCCGACTGATACAGAAAATGAGGGTTTCAACGGTGAAGATGAAGATGAAGAACAAGATGACCATCAAGATGATAAAGGAGCTTTTGAGAATTTTGTTCCTAGCCCTCTTGTTCCTCTGAAAGTGCAGATTGAGAAAGACAAGGTTTAGTTCTTAATTACCTGTTTCTTCTTCGTTCCCTTTTCATTAGTTTTTGATTATTTTGAGATGGGAATTTCCGTGAATCGTATTTCTACAATTTAGATGCCTTTGGGTAACAGGGTTCTTGCGATATTGTTTGTTGAATTATTGCTCGTTTCGTTGCTGGCTATTGGTTTTCGGTAAAATCTAATTTTGCCAAAATGGTTGTTGTGTGAAAAAATTAGCAAGTGACTAAATTGTACTATATTAAGCTATCTAGTGTTTGGTTAGTCCAAATAGCTTCAAAATTGTTGTTAGTGCTTGCTGTGTAACCACTTCATGGTGTGTTACAAAACTATCCTCAATTTTCGTATTATATCATGGATTGTTTTTAAAATTACAAATATCGTTTAAGGTTTACATCTATGTGACAAATATGACATCAAATCACTTCCCCACATGAGTACATTGGTAAGAAACAATCCCTCGAGGGTGAAATTTGTAAACGAGAAACGAACATTCGTGGCTCATTTGCTAATTTTGAGAGATAGTTGGTTACCTTTTTTTCTTTTTTATTTCCGGTGTTTAGATTGAAACCCGAGCATTTCTACACAACAGACTTCATTTCAATGGTCTCTCCATGTTTTATTTTAACAGGAAGATGAGAGTTTAAGAAGGTGGAAAGAAAAGCTTCTTGGCTGCCTTGAAAGTAATTTGAATGGTTTGTCTCAAACATTGATGATATCTCAAAGTACAACATACTGTTGTGGCAATTTTTTTTTTTCTTCATTCTAATTGTGTTTAATTTTGACCAGATCAAATGGAGCCTGAAGTTAAATTTCACTCTATTGGGATCTTATCCCCTGATTTTGGTGAAATTACTACTCCCTACCCCATTCATGAAAAACAAAGCAAGAACATACTTTTCACTATGAAGGAGGGTTCTGAGTACAGTCTTAAGCTCACATTCTCTGTTCTTCATAATATAGTATCTGGCCTAACCTACACAAACACCGTTTGGAAGGGTGGAATTCAAGGTTTGGGATTTTGCACTATTTTTATAACCTTTTGTTATAGAGTTGGAGAATATTATTTGAGGTTGATTGTGGGAACCAATTCCATGGTTTAGGCTGGCCATCTCGTTTTTCTTTTCTTCAACTTTTGTAGTGTATAAATGTTGTTTGCTATTAACTTGAAGTTGTAATAACTGGTTTGGCTATCCTAGATAACTACATACACATGAAAGACAAGGATATTTAGCTTTTNAGACGTGGTTTAATGTTTTCAAACTCTAAATATCCTCGTCATTGTACTTAATTAAACCAGATTTGATGGTGTGGGGTTTTGTGATTTCTAAGTGACTACACTTCTATACATAAAAGGCACACTTGGCTTTATCGAATTCTCTTCTATACATTAAACATTTAGCTTATGCTTAGAGGCATTGCCAATGTGCGATACCAACTCCTTTTCGCTTCGACTACTATAAATCAGTTCTTGTGAAAGTGGAATAAGAAAATGGAGATGCCAAACTTTATTGAGTACTTGTACATTACAAGAAATGCTTGATAATGAAAAATATCCATTTGAAAATTGGATGAAATCATATAAGAGGTGGTGGGTGTGCTTAATGATTGTCAACTGGTTTTAAATGAAAAATCTCTTCGTTTTTAATACTTTCTTTGAGAATTTGAAAATCGCAGTCGATCAAAGCAGAGGAATGATCGGAACTTTTGCTCCTCAAAGAGAACCATATGTACACACATTAGAGGAGGAAACTGCTCCTTCTGGGGTGTTTGCGCGAGGTGTGTACACAGCTAAGCTTAAGGTACATAAAGTTTATTGTGGAGGGCAATCTTAGCAATTAATTTTTTTCATTCCTTTAAGGTTTTGGAAAATCGTTTGATACGATAAAATATGCATTATTTGATGACTTCACCCGTCAATCTAATTCATGCCATGCCTTATTAATTTTGTGTTGCTGCCTAGTTGTTTTACAAATCTGGTACTGACCAGTTTTTTTTTTTTTTTATTTCGGGTTTGGTGATGCTTATGCAGTTTGAGGATGATGATAGAAGGCAACACATGGAGCTGGATTACTCCTTTGAGATAAGAAAGAGGCATTAAACTAGGTTAAGGTGATTGACTTATTTTTGGTTTGTTCTGATGTTAAATCGTGTGGACGAAAGTGAAGGCTCATTCATGGTCTTCCAAAATCTTTCTTTCCGAATATCATGTGGATTGGTTGATTTTGAGCAGGAATATATGGATCCCTCAACTCCCTTTGTTACTTAAACCATGAAGAATATGTTTTACTAACTTCCATGCTTTTATCCTACAATTTGCACAAACAAGCCCATATCAAATCCATATGATTTTCTTTTTCTCAAATAATTGGAATAATAACTTTCAATGAGATTCATGTAGATGTTCTCAACCAGATCAACTAATGTAGGGAAGCGTACGAATGAGAAGGATAAACGAGACTCTCGATAAAACTCACAAGAGTCGATCAATTTCTTATTTCATATTCAACTGCAAATAACAAAGAAGAAGGAGTCTTTAAATAAGACTCCTAAAGCCCTAAACCTAATTTGTTCACCAATCTACTAAATAATAATAATAACTAATTATTATTATTCTGCATCATTCTCCTCCGGTTGAGCAGGATTCGCCCTCGAATCCGACTCGTTTCCGTTGGAGTCGTCCCATAACAGGAATATCTCAACGTTTTCCCTGATCGTACACGAAGGTTGAAGGTTCGCTCAACAACCCTGAAAGTAAACATAATCTCGGGCAAAGATTGAACTGCTGCAAAGGCATATGTACACGCTTTCATACGCATAATCCACACAGCTGAAGTAACACAAAACATACCACATCGTTCGACGCGCTCAAATCCATAACTATGGCCAAGCATCCTGTTGTTGGGAGACTTAGCGATATATAATCAGAAAATGGCCCACCAGTTATTGAGCCTCGATGTCGGCTCTCAAAAACCATCGTTGGCCAAGATACTCCAAACATCGGGTTTCAACGACGGCATCCCCGTCAAAGGCTTAATTTTTGCGACGTCCCACGTGGGACCAATATTGCTGCAAAGATATGTCCGTCACCGGAGGCTCCTCATCGAAAATAGGCGGACCGTCGTACAATGACCCGTCATCTTCCTCAAAAATTGCACTTTGTTGCTGCACATCTTGGTCGTCGTGCGCAGCAACGAGCTCAGTCTCGACGGGCGGAGGCAGCCAGTCTTCGGAGGGATCCACCTCCGATATGGTCTCCTCGCAGTCTGCATTGTCGGGCGGCGGTTGTGGAGATCGCCGACGGGGCGCCTCGCCTGGACCACGACCGCCACTTCCTCCGTGAACTCCCCCCGCGCACACCTCGGTCGCTGGCGGCACGGTTCATCTGCAAATCGTAGACCACGTTGTTAAGCGTCAAACGCAAATCCTCGATCCCCGTCGAAAGATCTTTAAACCAATCCGTAAAACGCACGTCCAACTGTTCAAATCGGTAGTCGATCTGTTGAAACCGATCGTTGAAGGTTGCGTCACGTCGTTCGTTTGCGGCATCTTGTCGTCCCGGCGGCATCGCGAAGCGTACTGACTGCTGATACCAACTGATGTAGGGAAACTTATGAATGAGAAGGATAAACGAGATACTCTCTCGATAAAACTCACAAGAGTCAATCAATTTTTTATTTCATATTCAACAGCAAATAACAAAGGAGTCTTTAAATAAGACTCCTAAAGCCCTAAACCTAACTTATTTTCTTCATAAACTAAAAAAGCACTTTATGGCATAATTTGTTTTAGTTGCATGATTCATTACTACTGTTGCTAATATCATCAGCGTAGCTTCAAATACCTTATCATCTTGGCCTTCTCAGTTGATATAGGCATTCAGGGATCTGCCACGTTAGTAGGGTTCACCTTTATTATGTCCCCACATCAGCAGGGTTCAACTAAGTATGCATCATTTATGAATTAAATATGCATTTCGTATGAACTAAATATATATCATGAATGAACTAAATATGCACATGTATATAATTAATTCAAATATAATAAATATGTATTATGTATCAACTAAATATCCATTATCTTGAAACTAAATATGCATTTTGTATTACCTAAATATGCACAAGAAAGAAACTAAATATGCACTAATAAAATAATAAAAAAGCTAGGAGCTAAATTGAAGTTATTCATACTTTAAATTAATACAGATTGGCCTCAAAGATTAAATTGTAATAACTCATAAGTTTTTTAATTTTCAATTAAGTCCCTAAGATGTTTCTAATTATCAACATCAACCCTTGTACCCAAATCAAAATTCTGATTGTCGATCGCCCTCCTCCTCGCGGCCGGCGGAAGAAACAATAACAACGGCAGTGGAAATTAATGAAATTGGAGGCTTGGCAGCGGCGCGATGGCTCGTAGACCGAAGACGGCGATGGGTTTTCTAGTAGCTGTGGCACAAGGACGTCCTCTCAGGGGAAGGCGGCGGAGTAGGACAGGTTGCGTCTGCTCGAGGAAATTGGTCGATTAAGGCCGCCACGATTGGTTGATTTTCAGTAACGAGATGAACATGGAAGCCTTGCCAGCCTCGTGTGGGAGTTTCATTGTCTCCGGCTGGAAAAAGGAGCAGTAGCGACTCCGGCGACCTCGGGTGAGGGTTCCTGCGTCTCCTGCTGGAAGATAAAGTTGCAGCACTCCGGTGGCTGTGGGGATTCCAGCTCCGGCCGGTCAATGCTTGTCAACGACAGCGCCGGTCGATCAACGCCGATTAGCACCGTTAAATAAATTTATTTATTATATATTTATTTAAATATAATAATTATTATTTTTATTATATAATTATTATGTTTTCAAAGTGATTAATGTGAGTAATTGATCTACACAAAAATAAATTGCTAGGATTGAATCTTATGTACTCATTTTAAGAAGTGTTCTCATTTTTTAAGCTGCAGTCCCATGGAGAAATGATTCTCTCATTCATTTATAAGTTATTAGTTATTTTAGTACGATATAGACCCTTAGATGTAGTTAATAAATGCATGTTCCTTTACTTTTATGTATCTTTTAATCTTATTAAAGATTTTATATTAAAATCACCCTTAACAAACTTAGAAGCAAACTAGAAAGAACACTAACTATTCACAATTTTTGTTAAGACGTTTATTTATTTTGTGTAACCTAGTGGTGAAAATTGAAATGTCTAATTAAATATCTATGAGATTTTGAAGTATACTTACTTTTTTATTTTAATAATTTTCCATATCATTTATACTAAATTAGTGTGAAGTTTAATTGCAATTAATTTTTATTTGTTTTTTCTTTAACTATAGTTAATTTTGAAAAATGTGGCATGGTTAGTTGTTAATGGATATATTAAAAAAATATTTAAATAAAATAAATAAAGTTGATTTGATGTAAAGTAGGAGAAAAATGATTGGAAGTGATGGTTAGTTAAAATTATGTGAGTGGATGAATAGTGAATTAAAGTGATGCGATGTGTAAGAATGATTGGTTGATATTATTTAATTATATTGATAATATTGAAAATAGTAGAGTTGGGTTAAAGTTGAGTTAAATTTAATTTTTGATTGGTTTTTTTACTATTGAAATTATATCCAATCGCCCCCTAAGTATTCTAGAAATATTCTCTTTTTTTTTTTCGGAACGATAGAGATTTTATATAAGGGCACAAATGTGCAACAATACAACCACCTGCTGACGACACGCAGCCACCAGCTTAATAAAACATGAGAGGACAGGACGAAGCCCGCCTAGAAACGACCCTAACAGGGAATAACTCCGCAACACAAAGACACAAAAACTAAAACGGCCCCAACAGGGTAATGCTCGAGTGTGAGGTCCCAACAGAATAATAAGTTCACGCTCGAGCAGACTGAGGCCAACGACCCAAACCTAAAACACAACAACTAACATAAACACCAACACAAACGACTAAACAGGAACAAATAAACAAAAAGACGAGAACCAAAAAACAACTACACACTAACAACACAGCTTCCCTCAACAGGTACATCCAAAAAAGACAGCAGACAAAGCCGATTCCAAGGAGAGCTCCGAAGCTCCGATACCACGCCCACCACTGCATAAGGCCTAGTAAGGCGATGACCACAGCCTCATAAACAAATCGAGAACACGACCCGCACTCCAGCCGCAAAAAGCCATGAACACCACCCCACCGGCTAACACCACTAGCCGATCCAACACCCATCCGAGCAGCCTAACACCACTAACCTACTCCGGAGATCGTCGGCCTCCCACAAACTCAAAAACCGAGAAAGGGAAGAAAGGGAACGAGTGGCTTCCCTGCTCGACCGCTTCGACCCTGCCCAAACGAAGCATCTCCAATCAGCCTGACCGCAAGGAGTAGCCCCGACCCGCCACCCCCGCACAATCGAGGAGCCGGCGACCTAACTCCTGCGGAAATCGGAAGACCACCAACGACAACCCTCCAAATCTGGCCGAGAAGAACCGCCCCGACCAAAGCCAAATCAAGCGACACAAGCATCATCCACGCACGACCACCCCCCGCCATACCCCGACATCACTGAATTCCGGCTGCCTTTGAACAGAAAATAATTTCGCCGAAACCCTAGCCCTAACCCAGTGACGACAAGACAGAGGACGGGAGCGCCGCGGCCATGGATGAACAGAGGAGACCGTCCACCGACGATCACGGACGACGGCTGAGAGAGCTTACCAGCGAGGAGAGATGGAGGCCGAAAGAGAGATTGGGGGAGACGGGAGATTTGGGGGAGCAGAGGAGCTTTTTTTGATTAGATGGATTTTATTGGGTTTTGATTATTCTAGAAATATTCAAGTAATCTAGAACTAAAATTAACATAAAAGAAAAGACTTGACACATTTGAAGTTATAACTCAGTTCTTTGGTTCGTTAAGCTGTGAGAAGGTTTAGTTTTATTCTTGGTATGAATATTTACAAAATCTTCAGAACCATAACATTTTTTTTTTTTTTAAGTTTGAAGAAAGACCAACGGTTATTGGTTATTTTCTAGTTCGACGTGATTTCGATTAAATTCTTGAAACAATTCGATAATTTTCTAGTCTCATACTTAGTCTTACTTTATATTGTATCTTTTAAAAGTTGGCCCATAAATTTAGACTAATAAAAAGTGGGTAGTTTATATATATAAAAAAAGTAAAAAAAAAATAACTAGACAAAAATAAAAAGAAAAAAAAAAATTGTGGACAAAAATAAAAAGTACGTATTCTCACAATAAGTTGTTTTGATTAAATTTTTTTAAAAAAATGTATTTTGTTAATACGTTTTAAAATTATATTTGTAAAATGTTAT